GAAGAGGAGCTATTGATCTTTTTTCTTCATCAATCTGGTAAGCAAAACCATGACTTCCCGTGAAATGAATCTTACTTGGTATTCAAGTTTTGTTTTGGTATCGTGACAATTTGATATATGACTGGACAAATTTTGTGTCTATGTATTCAAGGTGTGATACACAAGACGCTACGGCAAAACAACCCAAGGACTATCAGCACAAGCAAGCAAGTTTAATGTTCACATTCGGAGAGGAGTCCAAGAATTTTTCTGTTAAAGTTCGAGATAACAATATAATTGAGAACAGCAAAACAATCAGAGTAAATTGTTCCATAAACGACAAAAGTATGCAATTGGTGAAGTCTTGCAGTGCAATGATCGACATCCAAAATGACGATTGTGAGTATATAGAACTTTTCAAGTTAAGCTGCCAATTTATGAATGAGAAATTATAGTCTTATCTTCATCCGTTTATATATTATACAAGTAATTATTGTAATGATTGGATGGAAATTTAGTGATCTAAAAGAATATTTTCTTGAGATTGGAGCACGTGACCTGATCATATCAGAGTGTGCAAAACGTTTGCTACCAAATATTTATGACTCTCGGTCGTAGCCAGGTAGGTTATCAAAGCTCCAGAAACTCGTATTTTCGCMATTTTTTAGGTGTGTTTATAGAACGAGAGTGCGTGTTTTATCGGGTATTAAAGTTTTTGATATATAACGCGCGCTCTGATTGGCTGACGACCGTGTTTATATCAGWGGACAGAGACACGCGCGCCGTTTTATATTTCTTAAATATATATACCCGACATAAACGCACTTGAGTTCTATAAACGACTTCTAGAACTCCAACATCCAATAATGGATGTCATTTTAGGAAAAAGCTGAAAAATTCAAAAACAATGACAATGCATGTTAAACTTCTAATGAGGTATTGCCTAACTATATCCAAAGTTTGGTCGAAATTCATCGAGGAAAGACAGCATCATGCGGTATTTAACTTGGAGCAAGAATTTTCAAAGAAAAAGAGCGTATACAAAATCAAAAATTCACATTTTACTTTGTATCAAATATATATTGACCGATTTCTGGAAAACAACTTCCTTATCATATTGCTACGTTCATGCAGAGTTTCGGCACTGTATGCCGATTCGTTAGGGAGTTAATGGTATGGAGCAAAAGGTATGTCTTTAGTGCATGCTAGAGCTCTTTTGAGACAAACAGACTCTGACTGTCTTAACTCGAAATCGAATCCTAGAATTTGCTTTAAATTTCTTGTCCATAAAGCCAAAACTCTTCTAGTGTTTTAGCATCTCTCTGATTTACAAYGGACGCAATACCTCTAATATTATGTCCCTGAGATATTGCGGAAAAAATAGGCTTAATTTGTTTGAAATAGCTGTAAAAGCGTTTTCCTGGATTTCCCCATAAAACGCATAAATTAAATCCGATTTTCCAAAAATTTACTCATTATGAATTTGAATCCCTTGTTAAAGTCCACCTCACCCAATTTTTTTTAGATTTGGAAAAAAAAGTTTAGGAGTTATAAACCACAAATTCACATTAAAAAAATTCGAATTTCCAAATTTTATATTTTTTATGCTCATTTAATTCGGCCAAATGATTTTTGGCCGAGTGCGAGGGAGCCTGGGTTGATGACGTAGATGGAGTAACTCGTCCTTCGGTAAATACAAAGTTTACTGTACAAGTT